TGTACAGTGACAAATAGTTTCTGCACAAAAGTTCATGGAAACCTAACTCCATTTCATTCTGGATGGCCACACAAACTCACTGTAGTGGAACCTGAAGTTAGAGTTGGTCTGAATGTTAAGGCCAGCATGGTCAATATTGTCCTTCTCTTTGTTATTTGGATGAACTATTCAATCTTTCCATGAGGCATTTTTTTTTTCCACCTGAAAAATAAGTATATAAGTAATTTCCTCTGATTTCCACTACAGGCTGTAACTAGGATAAATAAGATATCCCTTTTATTGAGTTATGGAGTATATTAAAAGACTACATAAAACAAACATATCATCCTGAGGTACTTTATTTGAAACTTTGAAAGATAAGCCTATATTAAAACATAAATATAAGCATGACATTAACTAGGATTAATAAATTAACAAATAAAAGACTTTACTGGTCTTTTGTCTTTAGCTTAAGAAAAGGGTTAGTCTAATAGTAACAACCTAGACATCAGAATAATTTAAGACATATACAACATACCTTGAAATTAATATAAATAATACACTAACTCAGTATTTCCCCAAGTGTCCTGATGACAATAATCTCATTTTGAAGCTATACGAGTCACTGTAAAAAACAAATTTTTAGAATCCATCTTATACTCTCCAATTCAGAATTCTCAGCAGATTAGCCTGGCCGTAGCTGGGAATAGCATTCTGGTGATTTTTTCATATGAGTAATTTGGAAACCACTGCTAGACATTCATTAGAACCAGGTGGAGTATAAGATGAAATGCACATTTTTTGGTCCTACGACAGATAGAAGAAATCAATATCTTTTCAAATGGACTCCCAAAATTAATAATTTTAGCAATCTCCTAGAACATTTTATGCACAGTTAACTTTTGAACACCATTGCTCTCTTTAACAACATGCAGAGTTGCACTAGCTTTCTTAAATACTGAGGAATTCATTATGAGAAAATTGAGTTAATGCAAGTTATGCCTTTTTAAAAAACGAAATATTGTTAAGTTATATATTTATTCCTTTTACTAGCTAATTAAGTTATTGAGTGTGTTCTTCCTGAACAGTGCAAAGGCAAAATTCAAACCACTTATATTATTTTTTATGACTTGCAAGCTATCGAAAATAATTAATAATGTTTACTGTCAAAACTCTAAATCATTTTATTTTACATATATTTTCAAAAGTTAGTGTTTTCCCACAAAATATTCAGGTATAAAATGCATATTTATAAACATTCTATTGACCTTGAAAAATAAAATATAATAAAATATTTTTTAAAAAATAAAATACAAAATATATTTATAGCTATGTGCTATTTTCTAAACTTTATTATTTGATTTTTATCTCAAATTGAGACATTTTATTTCTAGCCCATTAAAAAAATTTTCCAATAAGGATTTTCTTTGTAGTTTCATCATGTTTAGTTTGTTCTTAACTATATATTCATATTCTCCGACTCTACCATTTCTTCTGATATATTAATTTTTTCTGTATCTCAAGTTTTTATTTTTTCTACTATTCTTCTTTAATTCCTATGGTTTAGCAATTTTCTCTTTTAAATTAGATTTTTATTTTATTTTTAAAAATTAGATTGATTTTGTATGTATTTGTTATTTGTTTCTTCCTTCCTTTATTATTAAAAGACATAAAAATTTTCTTTCTGTGAATTTTGAAAACCAAAGAACATTTACTTACACTGAAATAGGAAGCCTTGAAACATCTTAAGATTTGCTTTTTTATTCATTTGTTTTGTTTTTACTTACAGCATTTGTCTTTTTACTCCCACACTAATCAAGATTACATGTTAGGAGGCAGTGTCTAGACAAATTTGTTTTTTTTTTTTCCAACAATAGAAAGGTCTATCAAATTCTTTACATAACTAATTAGCACCAGTAGAAAAAAAATCCATGTGCCCTTGCCTCTGTGAGAGTGTCTTAGGAGATCTATAATATAAGGCTTTAAGACACTTACTGTCTTTGAGATGTTAGCATGACTGCAGCTTGTAGAGTAGAGGCAGATAAAAATGAAAGGTGAGAACACTCCTGGAAATTATATAATTTTGTTTTCTTTTTTTTTTTTTTGAGTTAGAGTCTCACTCCCTCACTCAGGTTGGAGTGCAGTGACATGCTCACAGTCACCTCAGCGTCAACATGCTAGGCTCCAGCGATCAGTCTGCCTCAGCCTTCCAAATAGCCGCTACCACGCACTTGTGCTACCATGCCTGGCTAATTTTTGATTTATTGTAGAGACGAAGTCTTGCCAAGTTGCCCAGACTGATCTCGAACCTGCAGACTCAGGCAATCCACTTGTCTCGGTCTCCCAAAGTGCTGGGATTACAGACTGAGCCACTGAGCCCGGCAGAAATTATACTATTTTGACAACCCAAGAAAAAGGTAATGAAGACCTGCCTAGGGGGACGTCAAATTGCTTGAGACAAAATAGATTGTTTAATCTTTTTTAGATTTCCCTATGAAAGAATCAGATGTCTGGGCCCACTCCTCAAGTCCAAAGTCCTCCCAATCACAGCATAATCTGGATTTCTTTTGCAGTACTTATCAACAGTTATTATTATACATGTATAATAATACATACATGTATGTAACTGTCTAGTAAGGTCCAAGGATGCCGGGGCCATTTTATTAAACCCAACATTGTGCTTATCTACAATATATTTTTTAAATTTAAGAATGGATGGTGGATAAATAAATACAGAATAAATAATGACTTTAAGAACTCACAAGGAGAAAACTGTAAGTGGATGGAGTTGAAGTGGTGAGGAGGGTAGGGGAAGAAATATATTTTTAAGAAGTATATTTCAAAGTTGGGCACAGTGGCGCATCCCTGTAGTCCTAGCACTTTGGGAGGCAGAGGTGGGAGGGTCACTGGATCCCAGGAGTTCAAGATTAGCCTGGGCAGCATAGCGAGACCTCATCACTACAAAAAAAAGAAAAAAGAAGAACCAGGTGCCAGGTGTGGTGGCAAGCACCTGTGGTCCCAGGTGCTCTTTGGGAGGATGACACAGGAAAATAGCTTGAGCCCAGAAGTTGGAGGCTACAATGAGCCTCTGAGCTTCAACCTGGGCAATAGAGTGACTAAAAAAAAGTATATTTTAAGATAAAAAGGTTCAGAAATGACACATAGAATAAAGCCAAAAAGTAAGTAAAGGGATAGCATTAAGAGGAGTAATGCACAATACTCTTACTTTAAGTCTATATTTCACAACATCTAATAATGAGCTCAACTAGTTCAATAGACTTTTTAAACCCATCCTCTTCCAATGTTTAGTTTGATTTTCCTGAAATTTTATTTTAATATTTGATAAAATTTAGTGAAACTCGTGGGCCTTTTTCTTTGTCTATTTAATTGAAAAGATTGGCCATGATTGCACCCAGTATAATTGTGTTTGTGGATAACCCCTAGCTTTATAATTTATATAAGTTATCAGTATTTAGTTATTTGGTCATTGTTTTTAAATTAAACTATTTTCAGATACTCCCTTAATTCTTTTTTTTTCTTTTCTTTTCTTTTTCTTTTTTCTGAGTCGGAGTCTCACTCTGTGGCCCAGACTGGAGTGCAGTGGCCGCTCCCGGCCACCGCAGCCTCCACCTGCTGGGCCCCGGAGATCCTTCCGCCTCAGCCTTCCGAGTATCCGGAATTACTGGC